GACATTTTTTACTATCCAACGTCTACATTTGTCGAAAAATGTTGAACGAAATTTATGAAAACAAATAAAGCTCCAGAGACAAATTTCACAATGAAGAAATAAAAGAAACGACAACAATTCTTACGAACAGGAATGAAATGCTTGGAAAGCAAATTGTTCTACCTAATTAACTATGATGACAACAGGTGTAATCAAACCAACAGAAAAAGCGATGACCTAACCTGATATCTGCTTTTGCATTGCAGAGGGAGGTTGGGTGGACTCTCGCGAATCCAACGTGCCGGATACACTGGATCTGCGAGGAGTAGAACCAGGGCCAGGATCACTCGCACCAGAAGTGGTACCACCAGGACAGGGGACACCAATAATCTGACCAACGTTATAACCGGGCCACAAGTGATGGCTTGTTGCCAGAATCTCTTCAGCCAGTTGGGCTCGCCAGGTAAGCACTTGTAGTTGGGCAACTGCAGGTAGGATGTATCCGACCAGAGCCTTTTGTGGACACTTGGGATAGACTGTATCCTCTTCCAATCCAGGCGAGCTGCTGCGTTTCGAGCCACTGGACCGATCTTTAGTCGAGACGGCTGATAGTGCTGGTGGACTGAGATCATAACTCAAACCGAACATCAAAAACTGAACCAATAAACCCACTTCAGGAATGTCCTAAAAATGTGCAGGGAAAAATGTTAATTATTTAAAAGGACAACACGGATTAGTCTTGGAGAGTCTAAAGCGATTAGCTAAACGAAACCTTGAGAGAGTATATAGTTCCTTTAAAAGAGAATGTATTCGAGAGTGTTTCCGATGTGACTAGTACGTGTAGTGGGAATGAAGCACACAAATCCAGTTGATATAGGGGAACTCCTGGCACTGGTTGGTCAGATGTGTTTTATATTTTACTTGTAAAATTCCTCTTTTAAATCAATGGACAAAATTGAAACAGCATTCTGAAACAATAAACTGTAAAAAAAATTTGTGTAATTAATTGTGGAACATCAACGATATTCGGCCGCATGGATTTCACTACCGTGTTATTCTACTTTGGGATCTCAGCGCACAGCATTAACTTTGGAACCAAACTTGCTCGAGAATCCTGTCAGTTGCAACCAGTTTTCTTGGATCATTAAAAGAATTGTTTAAGGTTGGAAAGCAGTCTCCAGTTATGCAACTACCTGGAATAGCACCGTACTAATATAAAGGAAGAGAACAAATACGATCAAGAAGACTTCGCTGGATCATCAAAGAGTCTCAACGATACATTGAGTGTGTGTGTGGTGACTCACAACTGGACAAAAAGAACCACAATCATAGGACAGAACTCCATTTAATCATTTTTCACTACGAACTGTAAGTGAAAATCATTATTCTCTGAAAGAAGTTCGAATTCACTAAGAAATACTTGAACGATGATACTTTTCATTGAATCCGCCATAAAGAGATTAGCCCATATTTCATAACATGCAGAAAACCGACAAACGCGACAGCGGTTCGTTCTTCGATGAACAACTTCTCGTATAATTCCAAGTAAACTTAACGTTATCAAATTCCGACTGATCGTACAGGTGGCAGTAATCCAGTAGCAGATCGAGGGTGAAGAGTGAACCAAACTGATTCAGGTTCTATACTTTTGTTTCCTCTTGGGAAAGGTGATAAACACAAATTCCAGTCCCGTCTTGTCCGAAAGCTTGAGCACCATAAAAAAAATGACAGATTTTGATGCACCTAACGAAAACAGCAAAACATTAACTGTTTCCTCATGAGTACCATGTGAGTGGCGAAGTATTTTTTTTAACAGAACCATAAGATAAAAGCTAACAAAAGACGTGCTTTTGTTGTACCTCAATGAAGACCTGACTTGGAATCAGACTTCTCTCACAATAGCGATTGGCAACTTCCAAAAAGACACTATATAAAACGTACTCGAGGAAGCTTGTCTTCGTACAATCCCTTTAACGTGTAGCGAATGAGAGAAGTACATATAGTGTACAACACCCAGGGATCTCGACAGGCCATGTGAACGTCTCTAAAATAAGGCGACAGAAAGAACACAATATTCCGCAATACGCAGTATATATAAATAAAAACAAGTTGCACATGAGAATAATATTTGAGTCAGTTTATGAGCACACAAAATCGACCCATAATCTAACAGGGGGAATGACCTTAAAAAATGTATATACGAATCACACGAAGCCAACACTAAATGCATATCTGCCACAAGTATTTATCACTTTCATCTCACACACAACCCCATAAAACAACCGAGTTTATTGGTTTGCTGGTAAACAGCAATCAGTTACATGATGAACTTCCTCATATACAAACCAAAGGGAAATTGAATTAAAAAGCTAGGCAGCAATGAATTCCTCCACTATTCTCTTGTAACACGATTCAGAATGTTTCCAACCGAGCTATGATGCACAAAATAAGTTTCTAAAGATGGGTGGCGTTATATCACGTATAGCAGACACAGGTAAACAGTTTGATGAGTCACCCGGTGGTCAAATGGGAATAGTATGCTGGTGGTTTATTGGTGAGGTAACGGCTACGTGATCCTCGGCTAGGTCGATGGATTCGCGCACAGCTGTCCCGTGTTTCCTAGCTTTCCAATTCAATGTTTTCTCTGTACGCGAAGAAATTCACCATAGAATTGTATCACATCTCAATCTGCTCTCTGGTAAAGATCATTCTTTAGTTCAAAAAATTGACCCAATATAAAGAGGCTTTATTCACGCAAATGACTTGTGAACAGATGCGCAAACTTTATCGACCACTCTGTTTTCAAGGCATTATTTATGGAGGCCGTTTTGTGGTTTCCATGGGACTCAATGTTAGCATCCATCATGTTTTTCCCACGAGTAGCACAACTATGGAACACTCACCCCTTGTTGGTCTTCCCTCCAAATTAAATATCTTTATCTTCAAACGTAGAATCAGCTAGCGGGTTCCAACTTGAAATTTCCATCTCATATACGATATACCCCTGGATTATGTCGTTTAGTACTTTTACTGTATTCACTCCAAAAGCCCCAGCATGGTCGGGGGTGGGTGTCTAGGGTTGCGGAGAGTCACCCTTCCATTGCACCTCACGAAATGTTCCCATACGACCAAGCGTCTCGAAAAGCCTCTACTGAGGAAGTCCTACTCACTGCATTCTCGTCGCGGAGGTGTTTTCCCCACCAAAGTGAGAGAACGAAAAGCCGACATCCGGGGCTATAACCGGGTTGATGGACCACTGGTAATTCACTCAGGGGAATTGGCCGAAAGCCCTGATAAAAAAGCAACAATGAGGAGGC